CATGTCCTCTCCTCAGCCAGCCATGTCCTGCCTGCCCTCAGCCAGCCATGTCCTCCGTCCCCTCAGCCAGCCATGTCCTGACATGTCCTCTCCTCAGCCAGCCATGTCCTGCCTGCCCTCAGCCAGCCATGTCCTCCGTCCCCTCAGCCAGCCATGTCCTGCCCGCCCTCAGCCAGCCATGTCCTTCGTCCCCTCAGCCAGCCATGTCCTGCCCGCCCTCAGGCAGCTCCTTCCTTCCCTCAGACATGTCCTCTCCTCGGACAGCCATGCCCTGCCCGCCCTCAGCCCTGTCTCTCCCTCCTTCCCTCAGCCCTGTCCCTCCTCTGGACAGCCATGTCACTCCGTCAGCGACGTCCTTCCCTCTCTCAGCCATCTCCTCCCCTCAGCCATGTCCCTCCTTCCCCTCCGTCCCTTCTTCCCCTCAGGCAGCCCTGGCCCTTCTTCCCTCAGACAGCCATGTTCTCCTTCCTTCTCTCAGCCATGTCCTTCCCTCAGACATGTCCTTCCCTCCTTCCCTCAGCCATGTTCTTCCCTCATCCATGTCCTCCCCTCAACTCTGCCTTTCCCTCCCTCGGGCAGCCATGTCCCTCCTTCCCCTCGGGCAGCCATGTCCTTCTCCTGGGGCTCCATGTCCTCCCCGGGGCCACCAGCCACGTCCTTCTCCAAGAAGTGCCGGCTCCTGCCCTCGTGTCCCACCAGCCCCATGGACGCCCTGGGTTGGGGGGAAAATGGCAGGAGAAGGCCCTGGGGGTGTCGGTGGGCAGCGGGGGGACAGGAGCCATTAGTGAGCCACAGTGGCCACCAGCATGGCCCGGTGGCCAGCCAGACTGGGGCAGCGATGGCCCCCAGTTTGGGCACTGGGGAGGTCCCACCTCCAGGGCTGGGTCCAGTTTTGAGGCCCAAACTCCAAAAAAAACCCAAAACTTCTTTGGCCGCCACCGGAGACTCAAAATTTCTAGTCTGAATTTTGAATTCCAGTTTCTGGTTTGAATATTGAACTCGGGTTTCTTGGTTGAATTTTGAATTTGATGTTTCTGGTTTGCGTTTTGAGTTCTGGTTTCCGGCTCAGATTTTGAATTTGAGTTTCTAGATTGAAATCTAGATTTGAATTTTTAATTCATTTCTGGTTCAAGTTTTGAATTCAGGTTTCTAGTTCAAATTTTGAATTCTGTTTTCTGGTTTGAATGTTGTGTCCTGGTTTCCAGTTTGAAGTTTGAATTCGATTTCCCAGTTTGAATTTTGAATTTGAGTTTCCAGTTTGAATTTTGAATTCAAATTTTTGGGTTGAATTGTGAATTCTGGTTTCTGGTTCAAATTTTGAATTCAAAGGTTTCTAGGTTGAATTTCAAATTCAATGGTTTCCGGGTTGATTCTTGAATTCTGGTTTTCAGTTTGACTTTTGAATTCCAGCTTCTAGTTTGAATTTTGAATTCAAAGTTTTCTTGGTTGAATTTTGAATTTTGAGTTTCTTGGTTGAATTTTGAACTCAGGTTTCTAGGTCGAATTTTGAATTCGAGTTTCTGATTTGAATTTTAAACTCAGGTTCCCTGGTTGAATTTTGAATTCTGGTTTCCAGTTCGAATTTCAAATTCAGGTTGCCAGGTTTTGAAATTTGAAATTTGACTTTCCGGTTTGAATTTTGAATTCCAGGTTCTGGTTTATTTGTTAATTGCCCAATTTCTGGTTTTCACCCCCTGCTCCTCCTCTCCCTCCCCCCCAGGTGCTGCGGGGCCTCGCGGGGCGCGGATGGAGAGCGGTTTCCGGCAAAGCCGCCCAAAACCCGCGGCTGAGCAAACCCTCGGCTGGATTCAGCTTCGGTAAATCCCCAAATCCCCCAAACTTGGGGGAAAAAAATAGTGTTTTGGGATAAATGGCTGATTTGGGGAAAAAAATCAGGGAAAACCCCCCAAAACCAACCACGTTTCGGTGTGAATTTACCCTGAAGGTGTTTATTCC